AAAAAATAATTTTCCCCCCCCCCCCCCCCCCCCCCCCCCGAAAAAAAAAAAAGAATAAGAATGCTATACTGAATTCTGTTGGGCTTTATTTTTTTTCCCTTAATCATATCCAAGGACCCAATGCTCCATCATAATGCTACCCTATGCACTTCCGTCATTACTGAATCCAGATCTGCTGACAGTCGCCCACCACACATAAACAACTGACTCATCTGTATTTATCCACGAGGAGAAAAACCTGACATGCAAAGTTCTGAAATTTAAAGTCATAACAAGCTCACACTTCTCAACGTCAGTCTTGTGATAGAAATATTTTTTTGCCAACAGAGCTGGAACCCATTAAGACTCAGTGAGGTCGCATGGAATCCTTAACACTATGATGGCACAAAATCACCGAGTCGTAAAAAGACCATCTGCATGTGTGACCTTGGCAGCAAGAGAACTACTCTCAAGAACCTAAGTGAAAAATCCATCAGGGTTCACGTTAACTTGCTATAGTGAATCTCTGTTTCGCATTTTCTTGGAGGGATTCATTTGCAAAACATCTAAGTCAGTAGGACTCATTGCCAACCACCTGAACGTGTTCCCACCGAGCTGAAGCTGGGTGCCACTACTCTAGATTCAAAAAAGCTAGTGTGAACCATGAGTTTATGATGTTCCTCGATGAATGGAAACAGAGAACTTGTGGTGTGCATTGCCAATTGGCAAGTGGGAAATCAAACCGTCCCATGAAACCGATCGCAAGACGCGAAGAGACCGATCGAACCCTTCGCGAGAGATGACACAAACTTCACGGAAACCAAAAAGTGCTGGCTCAAAGAGTACATTAAATGCTAGTCTCACCTGGTGTCGACGTTGGAATGACAGGTCTTGTACCAGAGACTGGTCTGAATCTGACCGCCCAGGTCCAGGGAGACCGAACCCGTGAACGTGATCCGTCCGAGGAGTCCGTTGGACAGCGGGATCGACTCCACGTGATCGTGCAGGATTGACAGGTCTTGTACCAGAGACTGGTCTGAATCTGACCGCCCAGGTCCAGGGAGACCGAACCCGTGAACGTGATCCGTCCGAGGAGCCCGTTGGACAGCGGGATCGACTCCACGTGATCGTGCAGGATGTACGTCCCCTGTTCGCAAACGTATCGTGCGTTTCTGATCGCCTGAGCTTGCACATCACTGAATAGTCATCTTAATCTTATTCCTTTCCCGCAAAGAATTAAAAAATACGCTTGACACTATTGATCTACAACAACTAAATTATTCTCAGTAGAGAAAGAAAGTTGTAAACCAACGTCCTACCCTGAGAGGTCTGCTAGACAAAGTAGAGCTTTCATTAAAAGTAGTCTAGTGTTTTTTAGCCAGAAACGTGCTAGGACTTCTACGTCGAAGACACGAGTACTTAGAAAGGGATTCAATCACGACAGAGTCGACTACTCCATCCTTCATTTTACTCAAAATGGTGTTGCACATAGTCAAAACACAGCCTAAACTATAGGAGCTGGAAATCATTTTTTATATATTTTTGTCCTCGGTCAAATTTCAATATATTCCACCCCATTTTGTTTTTTTCTGATGTCATATGATGGTGAAGAACTTAAATTCATTGATCACATCAATGCAATTACATTTGGAGCTCATGAGTCCAGGTTCAGAGCCGAATTTGTTACCCTTCCATGGGTTTCAAAAAAGATTAAACATTCAGCTTCTGTCTGATGCCCAATTTTTCAAAGCCTTGACCACATGGCAATTGCTGTAAGAATCAGGGAATGTTATTTTTTTTTGTTGGAAATGCAGAATGGCCAGGAAACTCTCCCGATCCGAATGCGGCCGAGAACACGGGGTTTATCCCGAAAGACGGAGTCGAGGTTCGTGCTCGTGGATTCTCGCAGGAAGCCTTGCAAAAAGCAACATCACCAGGGCACCTCTTTTAAGGGTGCATAAAAATTATAAGAGGTACAAGTTTTGATTCGAAAATGAATGCTTTTTCTCATGATACATGAGTTTTTTCCTAGCTCTAGCATTTTAGGCTGTGAATGGGGGTTTATCTACGTGCAACACCCAGTACTTCCAGAAAGATGCAATGCAAATCGACTGCAAGCAACCACTTCTGCAATTAAAAAATCGATAGTCCATTCCATTATCAAAAGGAGAAGCTGGAACCCCGCCATCGAAATCGTTCGGCCCCACACGTACCTGAATGGCAGGGGTGCGAGTGGACGCCGTCCCCGACCATATGTGCCCCATGAGCTCCCCCTGCCCCTCGAAGAAGACGAAGGGCCGCAGCTGGGTCCCCAACAGGGACAGCTCCATCCCTGCCTTTCTTGTTCATCAGGTACGTGCAACCGGGGACCGGACGCGTGCGTCGGGCGATCTTTCGCAGCCGGTGTTGCTGCCCGATGATATGCTCTGCTTTCCTCACTGTGTGCCTGCATTGATAAAACCATATAAATGAGAGTTTAACAGATTGTGATCTTAAAATATATGGTAGGGCAATTCAAAGACAAAGTCAGGGTAGTCAGTGATTAAATTCTGACTCTTGCAAGGTAAATTCATAGATATGAAAAATTGATGGAAAAAATAGTGCACATTAAACATTAACTGAGGGTGGACAAATAATTGATTCTCGAACCCCTAATTGGCAATGCAAGGATTTATTCGTTTTTTCACTTTTCTGTTATTTTTCAGATATTACGCAATTAACAGCACCTGTGAATAGAAATTCATACAATGAGGTCAAAAATGAAATATTTGAAAAAGTGGAGCCTTTTCCCAAATGAAGATCAATACAAGTGACTCACTTGAGAACAAAGTCAGGTTGAGACATCTGTAGGCACATCATCGTCTTCTCGGAGAAGTCCATGTCGCTTACAATGTCGAGTTGAGGTTGAGCAGCAAGTGTGACTTCGATCTTGCTTTGAACGAAAGGGGTATCGGCACTCACTCGTCCACGAATCACCACCCCGGCTCTGCCACGCAAAAAAATCACTCAGTCTGCACATTCTATGCATGCTTATTGACATGCATCATTAACCCCACACATCAGTTCTGCATAAGTGTTATCCTGTTGGCAGGGCCTAAAGACATTCAAAATGGATAAAAAGTTTGGGATTGGCATGATTCACCAGCTGTTATGTTCAAATGCGGAGCATCCCTCTCTATAAATGGGTATAATCAAAAGGTTGTTGATTCTTATTCCTCCCAATGCAACCTGACCTACACTATGGATCTCCATCTATAATTTGACATGCATTGGTGGAAGTAATAGATGCCTAAGAAATACCAAGAATGCTAAATTTCCCTAGAATAAGAGGATTCAACTTAGCAGATGCCTTGGCTGGGTGTATGTCCTTCATCAAGACCACTTTGAGCACGAGTCTGGAACTTTATGGCCATATGAGCCATACAAAGATTGAGGTTAGTGCTTGTGAGCGAAAGATTTTTAAAACAGTTTTTCCTGAACTTAGCAACAGACATGTGCATTCTTTAATACATGAGACAGATGAGGAACAACCATGACTTTTAGTTTAGCAAAACTTTTCAGTTCATGAACCAACTGACTTGAGACACTCCCTTCAAGACATAAGATGTCTCCCCCCCCCAAAAAAAAAAAAGAAAAAAAAGAATGCTACACTGAATTCTGTTGGGCTTGATTTTTTTTTCCCTCCATCACATCCAAGGAACCAATGCTCCATCATAATGCTACCCTATGCACTTCCGTCATTATTGAATCCAGATCTGCTGACAGTCGCCTACCACACATAAACAACTGACTCATCTGTATTTATCCACAAGGAAAAAAACCTGACATGCAAAGTTCTGAAATTTGAAGTCATAACAAGCTCACTCTTTTCAACATCAGTCTTGTGACAGAAATATTTTTTTTTGCCAGCAGAGCTGGAACCCATTAAGACTCAGTGAGGCTGCATGGGATCCTTAACACTATGATGGCACAAAATCACCCTGAGTCCTAAAAAGACCATCTGCATGTGTGACCTTGGCAGCAATAGAACTACTCTCAAGAACCTAAGTGAAAAGTCCATCAGGGTTCACGTTAACTTGCTAGAGTGAATCCCTGATTCACATTTTCTTGGAGGGACTCATCTGGAAAGCATCTAAGTCAGTAGGACTCATTGTCAACCACCTGAACGTGTTCCCACCGAGCTGAAGCTGGGTGCCACTACTCTAGATTCAAAAAAGCTAGTGTGAACCATGAGTTTATGATGTTCCTCGATGAATGGAAACAGAGAACTTGTGGTCTGCATTGCCAATTGGCAAGTGGGAAATCAAACCGTCCCAAGAAACCGATCGCAAGACACGAAGAGACCGATCGAACCCTTCGCGAGAGATGACACAAACTTCACGGAAACCAAAAAGTGCTGGCTCAAAGAGTACATTAAATGGCAGTCTCACCTGGTGTCGACGTTGGAAGTGACAGGTCTTGTACCAGAGACTGGTCTGAATCTGACCGCCCAGGTCCAGGGAGACCGAACCCGTGAACGTGATCCGTCCGAGGAGCCCGTTGGACAGCGGGATCGACTCCACGTGATCGTGCAGGATGTACGTCCCCTGTTCGCAAACGTATCGTGCGTTTCTGATCGCCTGAGCTTGCACATCACTGAATAGTCATCTTAATCTTATTCCTTTCCCGCAAAGAATTAAAAAATACGCTTGACACTATTGATCTACAACAACTAAAAATAAGAGTCATCTCTTTCTTTCAACATTTGGTTGCAGGATGGGACTCTCCAGACGATCTGTTTCATCTCGAAAGTAATTTTCATCAGATCACAAAAAATCGGTCTTTGCACGATCCTGAAGATGCATGAAGACACGAGTATGTAAAGGGATTCAATCCCTTAACTTAGAAACTTAGAAAGGGATTCAATCACGACAGAGTCGACTACTCCATCCTTCATTTTACTCAACCTGGTGTTGCACATAGATAGTCTAAACACAGCCTAAACTATAGGAGCTAGGAAATCATTTTTTATATATTTTTGTCCTTGTTCAAATTTGAATATATTCCGCCCCTTTTTGTTTTTTTTTCTGATGTCATATGATGGTGAAGAACTTAAATTCATTGATCACATCAATGCAATTACATTTGGAGCTCATGAGTCCAGGTTCAGAGCCGAATTTGTTACCCTTCCATGGGTTTCAAAAAAGATTAAACATTCAGCTTCGGTCTGATGCCCAATTTTTCAAAGCCTTGACCACATGGCAATTGCTGCAAGAATCAGGGAATGTTATTTTTTTTTGTTGGAAATGCAGAATGGCCAGGAAACTCTCCCGATCCGAATGCGGCCGAGAACAGGGGGGTTATCCCGAAAGACGGAGTCGAGGTTCGTGCTCGTGGATTCTCGCAGGAAGCCTTGCAAAAAGCGACATCACCAGGGCACCTCTTTTAAGGGTGCATAAAAATTATAAGAGGTACATGTTTTGATTCGAAAATGAATGCTCTTTCTCATGATACAAAGAGTTTTTCCCTAGCTCTGGCAGTTTTGGCTGTGAATGGGGGGTTATCTACGTGCAACATCTGGTACTTCCAGAAAGATGCAATGCAAATCGATTGCAAGCAACCACTTCTGCAATTAAAAAATCGACAGCCCATTCAAGCACCAAAAGGAGAAGCTGGAACCCCGCCATCGAAATCGTTCGGCCCCACACGTACCTGAATGGCAGGGGTGCGAGTGGACGCCGTCCCCGACCATATGTGCCCCATGAGCTCCCCCTGCCCCTCGAAGAAGACGAAGGGCCGCAGCTGGGTCCCCAACAGGGACAGCTCCATCCCTGCCGTCGCCACGTCGTTGAGATCCTCCGGATCCGGCTCCTTGCTGCTGTACGTGTGGAGGCCTGCCGTGTACAGTGCCACCTGCCGGCAAACGTCAGAAGGCTCATTCGGCTGCGATGCGAAAAGTTCTCAAAAACCTCAAGAAATGTTCATAAAAATTATTTCATCGTCAACTTGTTCATCGTTTCTCGTACTTGACTGGCAAACATTCGGAGTTTCACTTTTATGACAAAGATCCGAGTATCGGCATGACCGAGCATTAAAGCCGAGCAGAGAAGCATTACCATTACGTGGAGCTTTTCGGAGGAAACAAAACGAAACATCCGACACCGCGATTCCTCACCTGAAGATAATCGAGGGACCCCAAGGAATTCTGCATGTGCGCATCAAAAGTGACCAACTTGAGCAACCCCGCACTGATCTCCAGCCCCGACGAAAACGTACTATTGCTCCCATCGGGCACGTCGCGATAAAAATCCCTCGTGAAGTACGTGCTCTTCCCCCCCTGCGCCAGCCTGTGATAATCCGTCCGGGCCTCGTACCGCCTCAGCAACTCCCTCGTCCCCTCGTCCCTCGTCGCCAGATCCCTCAGCCTCCCCAACACGAACGTGTTCACCTCGTACGACTGGAGATCCTGGAGTCCCCGAAACATCGCCTCGACCATCGCCACGTCCCTCGGGTACAACTCGACCAGGAGATCCCCCGCGATCGTCCTCGCCGTGGAATCGTACCTCCTCCCCGCCTGAAAGTAGACCTCCTCCAAGACGGCCCTGACCCCCTCGCCCCTCAGCGCCTCCAGCGGCAGACTCCTCAACGCCTTCATCGCCACCACCGCCGTCTTCCTCTCGCCGTGCACCACGTGATCCAGCAGCATCTCCACGTCTCCCGTCGCTCCCAGGTTCCTCACGGCCCGGAGCAGGACGACCTTGCACGGCTCGTCCTTGCAGGCGTCCAGCGCGTCCCAGATCGCCTTGTGGATCTCTTTCACGACCTGCAGAAACGATGGCGATAAATACTCCTGAAGCTCGTAGAACGACCCTTGCGACCCGAGAGGCTTCCGGTTTTCGACTCGGCTCTCGTTTCGTAACGGATCGTCGAATCGATCCGAAACCGTAAGGAACCGCATCGGTGGCTACGACACGCTCGTTCGCGTCACCCCTACGATGAGCTGCATCTCCAATTTTTATCCATCCTACTTTGCATTTCGGAACAGTGGTGTATGAATGGACGGCTCACAAACGAATTAACCGATATCGAAGCACCCTCGAGAACTTCCTAATAAATAATGGAAAGGGGGGGGAGGGGGGCAACGCGGCTTGTTTTTTCTTCTCGATGTTTTTCCCCCCAGAGAAAAAGATCCCATCGCCTCACCTGTTTATGCGCATTATCCGCGAAGGCGGCGAAATGCTTCCCCAGCGCCCCCAGCGCCAGAACGAGCGTCTGCTTCAGCCTCGCGTCCGGAATCTCCTGGCTCCTCCACCGCCTCAGGACGTCCCTGAGGACCTCCTCCGGCGGGTGAGGCGCGAGCGACAGGGCCCAGAGATATCGCTCGGGCAAGTCGATCGAGAAGGTCGAGCGGAAGTTCAGCGTCTCCATCGCGGCTTGGTGGGCGTCCGGCGTCTGGGCTCCGGCCATCACGTCCAGCAGCTGAGGTCTGGTCCGGTGAGAATGGTCCGGTGAATTTCGAGTCGTGCGACCGATGCCTCGATTCGTTTGCAAGTGACGGCCGGGTTCAAATCGAATCTTTCTTAATGCGATGGATGCAAATCGGTCTCACGACGTCATGCAGTTTCAAATACATCTTTTAAATCATATCGTAAATCACATTTAAATATCATTCGTGAGAATAAATGAAAATGCTACGGGAACCGAGTGGAACGCGAACGTGTCACGGAAGGGCACACGTCTCGCGCGCCGGGAAATCACGAAGGTAAAGAGAGGGGGCATACAGGATTTTCTTGTTGGCAGGATTCCTGAGTTCCTTGGAGAGCATCTCCTTCGGGGCGACCCTGGCCTTCTCCAGCAGGAGGAGGTAGATGGCCACCATCCGAAGCGAGGACACTTCCGCGTCCTCCAATTTTTCTCGCTGCTCCGCCAGGGCCTCTGAGAACTGGGGGGGTTCAATATATATATACATATATTATCATTACTAATATTATTAATTTTTTTTTTTTTTTTTAAGTGTAGGAGTCGATTCATGCAATTTTTTTTATGGGCGTTGGTTGGTGCCTGCTCGGAGGTCTGGGCCGTACGGAACGGCATCATTTAATGCTTTTATCGGCTCTCGTCGGAGAAAAAAAAAAAAAACTGGGACGGAAGACTCCGCGACGAGCGGATATCCGAAACTCACATCCTGGCAGTTCTCGGAGCAATACTCCACGTTGTTGTCCGCCTGCGAGAGGATGTTGTCCTGGACGAGCTCCATGTTCAGCTTGGACTTCAGCATGTTGCTCATGCTGAAGTAAATCTTATTGCATTTTAATAATTTCCAGGAGTATATTGTAAAATGTTAATTATCATTTGAAATAAGGTTGAACTTATTCTTGATGTATACGGTAGTCAGAAGGCAATGCTTTGTAAACTCTTAATTTTTTCATCTTAACCTGCTGCAATTACCTGGTGCATGCTGGACTAGCAGGTGGTGATATGTCATGCATCTTATCTGAGGATAAAGCCTTCATGATACAAGGTTGACATTTTCCTGGAATAAACCATAAAAGGCATTGATTAATTCCTGATGTGTTTGTTAGTACCAATTTTGTATGGATGTTTGAGACCAAAGCCTTTGAATATGATGGGTTGCCTCTTTTCAATTTGTGTTTGTTTTTTTGAATTTATGTGTTAAAAGCTTCCTATAGTCAGTGGAGTATATATTAAATAGTTTTTGGCATTTGAAGTTTTTGTTCAAGAGAACACATCCTTAATGTTGTGCACTTTCGCATCAGTAGAATAATAAAAGCTCTAATTACATAGTCTTGCTAAACTACTTCATGGCATTCATGAGACCTATTTTCCTTAAAGAACCTCCCAACTCTGTCTTTACAGGATAGTACGAGCCTTCCTCATCGAGGAGCAGAAATTGGTCGTGAAGGTCCTGAAGGCCCAGAAGGCAACAACAAAGCCTGTCCTCAAGAAGTGAAATGCACCTCATATTTAAGAGGGGTAAAAAAAAAAAGCAAACTATTGTTGGTCATCATTTGAATAAGAGAACCTAAGGCAATGACACCAACAGCATTATTTATTTTCTTTATTGCATCTCCTGGAATGGAGGGAGCCCACTGCACTGATATCACACGTCCCCTCTCGTTCTTTGTCCACGGTAATCACAGATATTGATGACTTGGCTGCGGGAGAGCTGCTCTTTCACACAGATAAAAGCATATATGTGAGAGAGTGAGGGGGGGGGAGGAAGATGAGGAGGAGGAGGCAGTGCAGGTACTGGTACATTTATGGAAAGGGACTTCATCAAGACTTGTCCTTGAACATGATATTGCAAAATTCAGAATTCTTCTTGTTCATCAGGTACGTGCAACCGGGGACCGGACGCGTGCGTCGGGCGATCTTTCGCAGCCGGTGTTGCTGCCCGATGATATGCTCTGCTTTCCTCACTGTGTGCCTGCATTGATAAAACCATACAAATGAGAGTTTAACAGACTGTGATCTTAAAATATATGGTAGGACAATGAAAAGTCAGTGATTAAATTCTGACTCTTGCAAGGTAAATTCATAAATATGAAAAATTTATGGAAAAAATAGTGCAAATTAAACATTAACTGAGGGTGGACAAATAATTGATTCTCGAACCCCTAATTGGCAATGTAAGGATTTATTCGTTTTTTCAATTTTCTGTTATTTTTCAGATATTACCCAATTAACAGCTCCTGTGAATAGAAATTCATACAATGAGGTCAAAAATGAAATATTTGAAAAGTGGAGCCTTTTCCCAAATGAAGATCAATACAAGTGACTCACTTGAGAACAAAGTCAGGTTGAGACATCTGTAGGCACATCATCGTCTTGTCAGAGAAGTCCATGTCGCTTACAATGTCGAGTTGAGGTTGAGCAGCAAGTGTGACTTCGATCTTGCTTTGAACGAAAGGGGTATCGGCACTCACTCGTCCACGGATCACCACCCCGGCTCTGCCACACAAAAAAATCACTCAGTCTGCACATTCTATGCATGCTTATTGACATGCATCATTAACCCCACACATCATTTCTGCATAAAAAGTGTTATCCTGTTGGAAAGGCCTAAAGACATTCAAAATGGATTTTTAAAATTGGGGATTGGCATGATTCACCAGCTGCTATGTTCAAATGTGGAGCATCCCTCTCTATAAATGAGTATAATCAAAAGGCTGTTGATTCTTATTCCTGCCAATGCAACCTGACCTACACTATGGATCTCCATCTATAATTTGACATGCATTGGTGGAAGTAATAGATGCCTAAAAATACCAAGAATGCTAAATTTCCCTAGAATAAGAGGATTCAACTTAGCAGATGCCTTGTCTGGGCGTATTTCCTTCATCAAGACCACTTTGAGCAGGAGTCTGGAACTTTATGGCCATATGAGCCATACAAAGATTGAGGTAAGTGCTTGTGAGCGAAAGATTTTTAAAACAGTTTTTCCTGAACTTAGCAACAGACATGTGCATTCTTTAATACATGAGACAGACGAGGAACAACCATGACTATTAGTTTAGCAAAACCATGAACCAACTGACTTGAGACACTCCCTTCAAGACAAGAGATGTCTCCCCCCCCCCCCCCCCCAAAAANCCCCCTTCAAGACAAGAGATCCCCCCCCCCCCCCCCCCCCAAAAAAAAAAAGAATGCTATACTGAATTCTGTTGGGCTTAATTTTTTTTCCCTTCATCATATCCAAGGAACCAATGCTCCATCATAATGCTACCCTATGCACTTCCGTCATTATTGAATCCAGATCTGCTGACAGTCGCCCACCACACATAAACAACTGACTCATCTGTATTTATCCACGAGGAGAAAAACCTGACATGCAAAGTTCTGAAATTTAAAGTCATAACAAGCTCACTCTTTTCAACGTCAGTCTTGTGATAGAAATATATTTTTGCCAGCAGAACTGGAACCCATTAAGACTCAGTGAGGTCGCATGGAATCCCTAACACTATGATGGCACAAAATCACCGAGTCCTAAAAAGACCATCTGCATGTGTGACCTTGGCAGCAATAGAACTACTCTCAAGAACCTAAGTGAAAAATCCATCAGGGTTCACGTTAACTTGCTATAGTGAATCCCTGTTTCGCATTTTCTTGGAGGGACTCATCTGCAAAACATCTAAGTCAGTAGGACTCATTGCCAACCACCTGAACGTGTTCCCACCGAACTGAAGCTGGGTGCCACTACTCTATATTCAAAAATGCTAGTGTGAACCATGAGTTTATGATGTTCCTCGATGAATGGAAACAGAGAACTTGTGGTATGCATTGCCAATTGGCAAGTGGGAAATCAAACCGTCCCATGAAACCGATCGCAAGACGCGAAGAGACCGATCGAACCCTTCGCGAGAGATGACACAAACTTCACGGAAACCAAAAAGTGCTGGCTCA